CTACTTATTATAAAAACAATGAAACCCGATTCTTCTGTCGAGTTTGCTGAGATTAGACGCATCACAATATGTAAAACAGAATCACTGTAATGATTCTTTGAGACTGGTTTATCTCAAATCGACTCCTTGACGTGCGAAGGAAATTGTTGTTGCTGGATTACAATGTTTTTCATCAATGCCGTTCTTTCGGTTGATCTTACCGGTACTGTCTCTTCAGCATTAAGAAACCAAGTTCACACTTGCTGTGAAAAAATTGACTGAAACGCTTGTCATGCATGCCCGTACCTGGGACGACTGATTGATTGATTGATTGATTGGTTGGTTGGTTGGTTGGTTGTTTGGTTGGTTGTTTGGTTGGTTGGTTGTTTGGTTGGTTGGTTGGTTGATTGATTGATTGATTGATTGATTGATTGATTGATTGATTGATTGATTGATTGATTGGTTGATCCGCTGACTTATTCGCTGACTGTTTGAATGCCTGCCTGGCGGCTTTCGGATGTCTTGTGGCGCATGAGCCGTGTGTCGGCCTACCTGTGTTTCCCGTTCCTGCTTACTCGACGGCCCATGAACCGGCTACATGTGCACCTTCTACAATAAACGTACTGCATAAGTGCCCACGTGTTAGTTTACCAACGGAAGTTTTTCGACCTTTATCATTCAAATCAATCGAAGAACATGTCAGTTTATTTTTTATTTTGCCAATATCAAAGTTTAAACCGGAAATCTGGCTAATGCTTGATGAGAATCGCGGTTTTACCTCATCCACCATCATGGCGAAAATTTTTCGTCCCATGTGATTTTCTCGGGCTACATGGCACTGCTTTTAATTTCATCACCCGCGCAAGGTTGCTCTTACGGATTATGTTGTACCGGAATATTTTTCATAGCCGCTAGAACTTTGCAACATGTTACATAATTCCAGGATGTCATGAGTGAAGGTTTGCCGGGATAATAGATACATGTATAACCCGATGTGGAGTGAACACTGTGAGTGACTTTTCCTCGTCTCAGTTCGGTGTCCGTTCATGGAATGAAAATACTACAGCTCTGGAACAAACCTTCATGTAAAATGATATTATGCATTCTTTACACAAGACCCAGTACGATATACGAGTACCTGGTCTTATAGTTAGCATTCGGTAAATAAGGCAACATATTTCTGCAATATACCAAGCTTTCTCTGTAAAATCCGAGTTGAATAGTTTTATCGAGGTTTTCAAAAGTACACTGGTTTTAATTGCCGTACTACAAATATTTCGAAATTAGATCGGCTTACAAGAGAGAACAGGACAAAAATAAAAACTACGCGCTTTGAACGTCCGCGAGGAACAGAGTCTCATTTCTGCGAGGGATCGTCACTAGTATACAATGACACGAACCTCGATTGTCCATCGTGCAGTTCGTGCAGTTTGATTCCACTATTGTATTTCAGTATAAAAAGGTTATTGTTGGATCTGGTCCAAGATACTCGATGATTCAGTTACCCGCCTAGGTAATGCGTAACGAAAACGATTCTCCTCAGTCATTAGACGCCCTTTGGCAATTTGGGCAACAAACCTTGAAAATTGGTCGTGCTTCTTCGTTCTCTAAACAACGTTGGGGCTACATAACCATTTCAGCCCTATTTTTGATTAAATTAATCAATTTTTACCTGCTATTACAAAAATTGTGTTTGTGACATTAAATTCATTCCCACTGTTGCAAAATACACTCGCGGTTTTATGACAATCTTCAATTTTTTTAAATTTGAGTCCATATCAATGCGTGGAAAAGCTCCGTATATCCGTGTTAGAGAATGACGTGTAACGAACGTATCTGGTTGCCCACGAAACCATCAAGCAGAATGCACGGCTGTAAACTTTAGGCACAGCTCTGTTCCAAATATATATCTGTTTTTTTTATAGTCAGGAATAAAGTTTGATCGTGCCTCACAGATAAAACTGATTCGGCTGAATAGATAAAGCGGCGAGGGTCGATTTTGCGCTACTGTATTGTATAACATCATGATAACACCGAAAACAACATTGCCAATTTAAAGTCTTGGCTGCCTAGCGTATTGATCGCTTACTCCTATACACCGAGACCGAGGGTGGAGTCATTTATAAAATAACCTGCTACCGATGTAAGTAAATTCGCATTTTTTTTCTGTGTTCATACTAATAACTTGGCTTTCGAGTACCAGTCTAACCACATGCTTGCCTGCCTGCCTACCTGCCTTGAGTTTTGTGATAATATTTGTGTAGTTTGAAAGTTGCAGAACAGATTTGGAAAATATTTTATGCAAAGCTGCAAGGAAGTCCATCCGTTCCTATTACGTATTCTAAAAAACTGAACTCCTCTATTCAGTGCACATTAAACAAACCGATTATTGAAAACTGTGTCGTTTAAATAAACGGATCAATTATTTGGCCACAAACTACTCACGCTTTATCCTTAATCCTGAATGAACAAAAAATATATTCCGAAATACATAATGGTTGACCTTCAAGAGTTGACCTCGATATGTGCGGCTCGATGAATAAACATCTTTTGGTGTCACCATGCCCAAACCAGACGAAACATCCACGAGATTTTAGCATATTATTGAAGCCGAGAGGCAACTTAATCGGGAGGTACATAAATCCGATGACTCAGTTCTTGACTAGTGCAAGTGCTTCGATGTGAACACAAACTCAATTTATTGCATAATCAACGAAATTGTTCTATCAACTCATAAACCAAAAGGGAGAAAATCGATCACATCGAAGCAAGACGATGATGGTTCAATTTGATCACAACTGACAAAAGTTGCACGCAAGCAATATGGAGAACAGTCCTGTCGGATTAGCCCATTTTTCCTCCTGATACCGTTTGGAAAGTGATGGCTCAATTTGAAATGCAGCTGAGAACAACTGATACGATGCCATTATTAACTCGCTTGATAAATTGTACAACCTGACACTGATTTACACGACGAATTCATCATATAAACAATTTCAGGTTATCTCGGACTCATTACCACACACACAGTGTGATGGAAGGCGGTACAAAGAGAGTCCTGGCTAGAGACCGAATCAAGAATGGGGCTCATCCAACCGGACGCGCAGACGCAGCGACGAGAAATGCCTCGAGAGACAATGTTGACTGCCATCCGAAACGAGCGAATCGGCAATTACAGCCCGACAGACAATCCGCAGCTAACTGGAAAAATATCCACCGAATGCCACAACGTCGGAGCTGGTCACGGCACCACTGCAGCGAGAGGGCGAGCTGGCTGGGAAAAACGTCTATCGAACCAATTCAAAAGCAAACGAGGTATGCGTTTGATTATATACAATCAATTCTCAACCGCGCGGCGGGATGATTCATGCCGCTTTCTGTGGGTCATTCCTTGTTGGGTTTGGTCCGCACTTGGCACGTACGTTGCCTCTTCTTCCGCGTGTCATTCCGACTGGTTTGACCTGATCGCGGCGCGTCTGGTCGGATGAGCCCCATTCTTGATTGGGTCGCTAGCCAGGTCTCTCTTTGTACCGCCTTCCATCACAACAGGACTGACTCGTCCAGTTGCCTATTTTACCACGATTGAAATTGTCTCATATAAATTGGATTGTAAAGACTTGAAAAGGAATTCACCGAAAACATCCTGTTCGCCTACATTTTGCGTTCGCAAATCTTATGAGATCCAGCAAAACGAAGTGGGGAAACACTTACCGAAATTCAAAAATTTTACACTGGCACAGACACGAACGAACGGAGGGACGGATGGACGAAAGAACAGTTCATCGAATTGCATCACAGTCAGGCCGGGGTTTGATCAGTTGCATTTGTGTCCGATCACGTGACTGTGCTTTTGAGAAGGTGATCATGAACTCCGGATTAGCACGCATACTTAGAAACGCTTTACGAACCGGCTTGCTCATATTGACCAGAACACATGGATTGATGGCACAACAGAACACAATCGGAGCCAGTCCGGCCTGTTGACACGGGGAACCAGCCTTGTAATCGGAAATTCCGGCCACAGCCAGAGCGTAGTTAAGGGAATCGAATGAGTGACACACAAAGTAGATCACACTCAGTGTGGCTGTGGTCCACACAAGTCGTGAAACACTACGTCTATATCGGGGTTGACTGTCACCGGTTGTGACCACTGTTGTCGTGGTTTGCGATATGCGTTTTTCTCTCATTTTCAATCGACGTATTTTCCAGATGATGAATGCGTGTGAAGTGAGCAGGCATACAGCCGGGAACACGTGTAGAATGATGAGAACCAAAAAGGCCTGTATATTGGCTATCACATGTGTGACTGGATGCTCCAAGACTAGGGAAAAACGACACTGTCCATTTTTGTATTGTCGTCGAAGAAACTGTGGCACATAGACCAGGAGAAACGTAAGCACAGTATAGCAAATGAACATGCCAATCAAACGTCGTTGGTGCTGTCGATAGTACACTGGTCGAAACAATGCTGTCAGTCTATCCCAACAGATACAAGTCAAATTGCCCGCAGCGAGCATTGGACCGATCCAGAAAAAGTTATCCTGATGCCAAATATAACACAACACTTCATCCAACTCAGACAAACCGGTATTGATCCGATCCCCGATGATCTGACGCAGTAGCATGGTTAAACAACCGAGTCCGTCAAAAATGCACTGACTGCGGAATAACACATTGGTCACGTGCGAGCCTAACTGGACACGCAGGAGGGCAACAAATACACTGGCGTTTGTGATCAACCCGATCAAACCCAAGACACTGAGTAAAATTCGGACTACATGAGTTGCTTCAGGCATGATTCATGCAAAGCGGTTCATTTGGGACTATGCATTCTCGTTTAGAACATTCTCAACGTAAATGAGACATTTTGAATCAGAAAATCTCATCCAATCATGATCGGGAAGCATAACTGACCAATCAAATCTATCGACCAACCAAATACAGACTGAGAAAAAGAAAGATAATAGTGGGCGGGAAATAAAAAGGATCTGAATTGTTCTAGTCTGTACATATTCTACGGGGTGTGCATAAGCTGAATTTTCGAAAACGGAATATTTTAATCGATTAGTCATGGAATCAATTGTCTATTCAAATTTGTATTTGTTACATTGTGCACGAATTGTGTCACGGGACGGTCGAAATCAGCTAGACCTCGCGTGAGGTAATTTCCTGTGAAAAATATCACTTTTCTCCAGAAACTTAGAGAGACACGGTTCTAAAAGCGATTGCTCGTACGGGGGGTTGGCAACTTTCACACTAAAAAAGATGATCCACACGCCTTTTATCTTTGGGGACGGAAGTTGTAACAATCTCGGCTGGGCTATGAGATTTATACTATTGGTGGGCTCTAACCTGAGTATAAACCCGGTTTCGTGCTGATGAATGCAAGCAGAATAATGCTTGAGGCATAACAACCATAGGGGATAATGACGGACAAAGAGCATTGGACAGCTGTTTTGCTTTGTTTGGGACTTGCTAGCAGCGCGTACTAGTACGGAGTCAACGATCTCCCAAGGAGTGAAACCCACACCCGGGAACATTAACAGGGCCTGGTGCCTGCGAGCAGTCAAATGGTTTAGTCCACATTTGCAATTCTTAATTAACAACAATTCTTTTTCCATACCACTACTCATGAGTAATTGTAAGTAAAATGCTAATTTTAGTCCTTCTTAACAACCATAATAGTGAACGTAGGTTTTACAGTTATTTTCAGTAGAATAACATTTTATTGTGAATGTGCATGTCCAAAAACTACAATTCTGGCTGTGCTCGGCACATTCACATACATTTGAATATGCCCACAATAACACTGAGAAAACGGGTCGGATACTCCTACAAACAGGTTGGGGCCTAGAATGACAATCGCCTCGGCCATAGCTCATAAAAGACTGATGCAGGCACTCCAATCGCCTTGGCCGTGTGTGAAAACCAAGACAGAACATGACGTGTCACTTGATCCCAGTGGGGAAAGGTCACATCAACCAACACGCTAAACACTCCTACACACACACACACAACACACAGACACACGCACACATAGACGTCCTCTACTCTCTGCCTCCGATTAATGACCTCAAATTGAGTCAATGACTGTCATTATGTAAGCATTTTTCCACTATATGATATGTAAGAGCATGACTAGGAATATCCGAAAACAAGCGTTCACATTCACATATCTCTTGTTAAACGGGACGATCAGAATCCGCGGACGGAGTAAATTGACTACCCAGCCAAGGAGAGTCTAAGCAGCAGCGAATGCAATCTGGAGCCTATTCAGAGTCGATAAGATGATTTTTCCTTGAGGAATTGCCAAGTCAAAAAGTGATTTTCTTTATTGGCTGTAACAGGAACAAGTACCTTAATACCAACGGGAGCATTTCAAAGTTGATCACTGTGATCGGACTTTGAATAGTTGTGAAGAGGAAGCTAACCAAACCAATTCTTGATCAGGAATGGGGCCAAATATTGTCTGTGTTAACTTCCCACGGACGCATGTAATTGAAAATAAGCGCGCACCGAACTGTTGACGAGTGCGGAGAAGTCAATCAAGCGGGAGCGAAAATTGGACATCGGACCAAGCAGTTTGGTTGCAGTGCAAGTGTGGGGATCCGGGTCTACGAGATGACGTGTACCCTGGAGCGGCGCGTTACAGTTTTTGGATAAATGGGATCAATCAAACTTCACGGGCGATGTCAACACCACGCATACGTGTCCCTGCCTCTGACTACATACCATAGGTAGATTGCACCAGTCAATCAAAGACTGTGCGGACCAGACAGAAGTAGAGTGATCCCAGGAATAGTGGAACACGATCGGTAGAAACCCGAATAACCAATGAGCCTACTTTGTACATACTATTTAATCCCCTTTATTTCTCACAATAAACGAACTACCATTTCTGTGGCCTTTTCCTCGCGTCTCAGTTACGTGGGATATTGAGTGCTAGTGCCAGTGCGAACCAGTGCTTATGTGATCCAGTCCGTGATTGCTAATCCTTGATTGGTATTCCGTGATCCGTATTGCGTGGTTCGTGTTCCGAGTTCCGTGCGCACTACTATTATCATTACTACAATCATTACAGCAATCTCAACTCATACACACATCAACACAGACGCACGCATTTAATTTATACTAGCTTCAAAGGAGTGGTGACATACTGTGGCATACTGGCTGGCCACTTCTCACCGCAGTCTGAAGCCCATCTTGTAGTGACTGAAAGATGGATGGGAATGAGTGAAAATAATTTGACAGTTTAATGAACAATATGCGCACTTTGTAACAAAAGTGTTTACCACATCTCCTCTCCCCAATCCACCCAACTTTCTGGAAAATTTTTCGTTCCCATACGAGACTAGTATAACTGTTTGAGGAATAAACAAAGTAAAATAGACAGGTTCTCACATCCGTTTTGTGCTGAGTACATTCTACCGAACTTGCACACACACTTTGGCATACTCGGCATTATACTGTGCATGATACGTTTGCCGTCGTTGTTACTCGAACCTAGTCCATGTTTTCTATTGTAAATCCAGTGAATCTATCCGATAAAATAGGGAGCCATCGATTTGTAGCTCATCTGTCCAGTGCTTCCTGGCTTTCAGTTCACGCTTCACTTGCCATAGACACGACGAATTCACCTTTGAAATTGAATCAAATCCTCCATTACTCACTTTAAATACATAATTGCCTTTTTGGTTGTGCGGAGTGAATGAATTCATTGAAAACCTAATCTGTTCACCAAGAGTACACTTCTCATTTACCCTAACTCCGCAACCCACCCAACTGTATGTCCGGAGCTGCGCAATAGGCACCAGGCACTTTTGATGGTCTTCGATGTGAGTTTCACTCACTCCCTTAGAGATCGTTAATTCCCATCAAGTTCGTGCATTCAAATGCGATGGAAATGTTTGTGATAACCAACAAAGAGCACTGGACAGCTGTTTCGTCTTGTTTGGGACTCGTCAGCAGTGCACGTACCTTTTGTGTGCCTCTGTCAGAACTCGAACCGCAATCAGTCGGGTCGGGACTTCAAACCCTTACCCCTGAGCTACACAATCGACGGTCATCATCACCTTGTGCGAATGGCTCAATCAATTTTATAGTAGCAAGCCTGTATTAGCCCATTCGATTGTTAAGAGGCACCAGGTACTCTAGGCTGAGAATTGAATTCTTGTTTTGGTCTAATTTCTGTCATAACACTTCAGTCTGATGAAAATAATTAATGACTATTTGAATACTCACTTTCTTAATTGCTGATAGCCCACTAATATTATCTTGTGTTGATTTACAGTAGTATGTTTTAAGAGCGTTGCAATCGCCCTCAATGGTGGCATGATTCTACTCCCACGTGTAACTGTAAAAATATTTATCCGTTTATTTTTAATAAATAAATGAGACTATTCAATGATGATAATAGCAAAGATAACTCAGTCGTCATTCTCCTTTCGACTGAAAATATTTAGGTGGGAAAGAAAAAAACAGTCGAACTCTGAACTCTTCTGCAAAAATTTTACTCAGAATAACAAACAGAAATATCTTTTTCACTAAAGAAAATTCCGATTTTTATCACTGGAAAAGTCCCCGGCTCCCTCTCGCAAGACTTGAATGACTGGACGGAAAAGCACTGTACCTCGTACTTGGCCTTATGTAATTGGGTTTTGTCTAGCGCGAGGGGGGAGGTTCTAATCTCCAATTCGATTTGTAGAACGTCATAATGAAAGAGAGATAACGGGTAAACGACTGCTTTCGCGGAAAATGCATTGGTGATAGTCGTACAGTGCGACACAACCCCGTGCGCCCAACTGATAAATGTGTCCGATTGGGTAGATATTCAACCCAGGGGTAGACGGTATCTTCCAGTCCACCGGATGGACATTTTAGCTGACAAACAAAAAACAAACAAGCAAACAAGTGCGGTTTCACCTTTCATCCTTTGTTAGTTGCTGTCAGCGAGCTTCGGCACGATCCCGATTCAATTCCACTGGGATTCTGTGATCTGACAATGCTCGTTCGCTTGTTCAGTACTGGATGCCAGTAACAATAAACTAAAAGGAATTTCAACATTCCATCTCCCTGGTCCCTAACCTGTCAGACTGTAGGATAGTGCGAAGAAACACACATTGGGTAGTAACACAGTTCCAGTGAACGTCGACAAATCGATGAACTTGACAGTCACGGCCAGGAAAAATCAATATGACAAATTAAAGCAACTCTCAAGACTCGAAAATCCCGCTCCGGAGAATACATCATTACCCGCTAAACAACAAGAATTTATCTCAATTAGTCACAACGAGCGGAACCAAAACACACGGGCTTTTGTTACAACGTCCGTGAGATTTGTATTTCTGGCACATTCGTATTGTGCGAATAAGTTGGACCTTCGTTTTACGGGATGTGTAACGCGTGGCACAACCGCGCCAGTAATATGTTTTATCGTGAGTGTTTGTATCTCCCTGGACCAGTTTTAGGGTCATGGCGTTTTGTTTGTTTTGCCTTACAGGTTCAACTTCAACCCCGACCCACGGAAGATTTGACGAGAGCTCAAATTATGCCGTAGCTTACTCGCATCGGGTGACATGTGACTGGTCGACCTGGCTCTATCGACCTAACCACTATCAACAGGCCCGAATGATTACTGATCTGTATTTTACCCATTGACCTTGTAAATTGCATTGACATAATTACAATCAACCCGTTCTGTAGTTCAGTGACTTCTGTTCTTCTTAATCAGGGGCGTACAGTTATAACAGAAGACCGGTCTGCCATTGTTTCCAAGCCACCCCGTGTCCCGTCTCCC